GATTTTAGCCCTACGACCCAACACGGGGTTCCCGTCGTCGTTCAACATCGCCTCCCCATCGTCGTCACTCACCGGCCCCTCCTCCTCGAAAAGGGAATTTAAAGCAGCGTCGGTAATTGGCCGTACCATGTACCACTTGTCTTTAAACCCCCTCACGGAGTCCATATACATCTTAAAGAGCCTCCTCGACTGCTTCAGGGAGACCCAACTATGTTTCCCTCCTCGGGACTGACGCTGCAAGTGAAATACCCGGAAGAAAAGCGGGATGGTCGCCCCGATCCTCAGGTATCGACACGTCAACTCAAACGCCCGGATGAAGGCGAGAGAGTTTGGGTGCAATTGGGACGGGGCCAGCTCCAAGTGCATAAAGACCGCGGCCTGGAAATCAGTGAATGGTAGCCGCAGCCCTAGGTCTTTGAACGCGATCTCATACATCGCGAGGCTATAATTAGGATAAACCGAGCAAATCCTTGCACGGGTTGACGGAATCATGACCACGAAGTTCTGCTGGAAGTCGGGCTGGTCTTGACCCTCTTCAATGACAGTGAATGGATGTCGATCATCCCGACTATATACCGACGCTATCCCCCGCGGCTCGACGCCCACCCATTCCAGCAATGGGTCGGTCACGGTATCAATTAGGGTGACCGATTCGTCGACACTCTGTTCTTCACGGTCACGGCGTCCGGAGGAGCTCGGCTCGTCCGCCATGGTTACCTGCAGAGCACGGGAAACCAGTCAGTTGAGCACGAAGTCCTACGCTCGACAAAAACATGTCGTCCCTTACACGACTACATAAGTCCGTTTCCACAAATGGATGCCTCCCCGACGCCCTGAACCCGGTGTTCGTCCTCAAACCAATTGCGCGGCCACTCTTCAAGCATGTCGACCCGGGGTATGAACATGTCGAGCCGCACCATGAAGCCCACGACCACGACCATGAACATACCGGGCGCAATCATGAATCAGGCGCCCTGGATCATGAAGACCCCGAGCAGCTCTGAAGTTTATCACCTAAAACTATGAATGTGCCGACCACAAACATGCGTTTGCCGGTCCTAGACATGAATACGTCGGGCTAAACACGAGTTTACCGGGCTAATCCCACGCGCACGATCCTAAAACATCTATAAACGCCAGAAATCATGCTTTCTAAACAGAAAAACGAAGAAGATAGATCACTTACTTGGATCAAGGTGTGGGATCTGGCTACGAAATGGAAGAATCTGTGACGAGAAGTCGCAACTGGAAGAGCGTCTGGAAGGGCAGCGACAGAGAGAGCAGAGAGCAGAAAACGTATTATGGGGCCCAAGGTACCTATTTATAGTGATGACGTGGAATACCAAACGTCACCTCGGTCAACCACGGACTCCATCTCCTCGACGCGCTGCTCCCAACGCAATGATGGCCCTACCCCCATAGGGTGGCGGCACGGTTCCCGAAAGATACCTCGTATGCTCGCCGACGCGCCCGGTAAGGATCCTCCGCGCATCCACTCCCGAGGACATCTCCGAGCGCGACACGAGGAAGCCCCTCGAGGACCCACACCTATATCCCGGGCACGAGGCCTCAACGAGGGAATAACTTGGATTCAAGTCATGGCTCCTCGCAAAGGAGCCACGACTTGGGGGGCTCCTGTTCTGGACTGGGCCCGACAGGCCCAAAGGCATTGCTAAGGCCCAGTCCAAAGGGACTTACTAGGGACCACGCCGAGCAAAGGAGCCACGTCAGTGTCCGACATCCTAATGTCCAGCTCGACATCCGCTGTCCAACTTCACGTGACGATGTCCAGCTCGACACCCTGATGTCCAGCTCGACACCCTGCTGTCCAGCTCGACATCCTGCCGTCCAGCTCCACGCCCTAACGTCCAGCTCGACACCCTGCTGTCCAGCTCGACGTGGGCTCGAGCAACCCAGCTAGGGCAGACTCAGTCCACCGTTCCCCCCTACGATGCTCCAGAAAGACCGCGTCTCCGTCCGCCCGCACTTCACGCAAAACATCCAGGAAGGGGACCACGTGCGGGTCCCCACTACCCACGTAGAACCTGGCAGTTCCTCCATTGGGCCAAATCCGCCCGGCCCAATGGAGGAACCTTGGCCCAGCGCTGGGGGCTATAAATACCCTCTGTTTCCAGAGGGTCAGGTATTGATCATTCTAACCTCAACTTCTATTATCTGCTCGTACTCCTACTTACTTCAGCATCGGAGTGTCTTGCAGGTACCCCCCCCCCCCCCACCTCGTTCAAAAAAGCTTTCTGCTCAGAGCCAGCCGTGACGGTCCAAACCTTCTGATCAGGCCAAATCAGCCTTGTTCCTGGATTTCCCCTTGGTGGGGGAGTTCCTAAAGGCACTCTGGGGCCAGTGAACGGGGGTAATGGCCCCGTTGTTGTGACTGTTACTGCTGGTGTTGAACCAGCGGTTATTGCTTCACTTACGGTTGGGATAACCGTTGTTCCCACATTCGTTTGTGGGATTTCGTTGTTGTTTGGCGGATTCGCCATCGCTTCTCTTCCTTTGGCAGTATTGGTATTGTTAGTGTATATTCTACTACTTCTCAATAACATGCAATACTTCTCGAAAAAGATGATATTCTGTGTAAAAAGGTTAAACTTCAAAATCAACACAAGGTCCCACCGGGTGTGCCAATTTGTTTACCGTGGGAATTGGTAAACAACCACTGATCTTCCAAAAGGTTACTTATTTGGTGACTCGCAGGATCGATCAGATTGATCCTAAGACATGGTTGATTTTGGGGTTTTGACTAAGTTTGATAATGGTTAAATGACAAGAAAACAAAGAAGCTTTATGTAAATTGCATGAAGAAGAAAACTTGACAGAATAAAGAAAAGCTTGAAATGAAAGGCTTCGACTGGAAAAGTAAAGGAGAAAGCAAGTAAAGTTTCTGGAAAATAAATGACTTTGATTAATTAAAGTGGTGTTTCACACATACATTCTCAACAATTCTTTCTCTCACGCTGGGTACTCGAATCTATATGAGTAACTTGTATATAATTGTGAACACACGCGAAAAACTGCGTGAACTACTAATATTTATACTAAACACATCCCAAGTAACCGTCGGACAGTTACACTGCTTCGAGATGACTCCACTTGGCACGTTCACAACGTTCGACGCTCCAGATCTTGGCACGTTGCACTTGGTAACCGCTGGGAACCGTTTTCCCTCCAAACGTTTGAATCTCAAACCGTTCCACTCTGAACAATCGAACACCTTCGTCGAGAAGCACCTTCAACGTCGAAGGCAACAAGATTCCTACTTAGAAGAAATTCTCTAAGTACATTGCCATCTTCTGATGGGCATTTCGACAGACCCAGCTGGTCGAAACCATCCTTCAGCTTTAATGGCTGATATTAATAAAAACAAGGGTGTCGAATTTAGGAGCCAACACATATATAATCGTGTTATTGTCTAGAGCGTTTGATCAACTGAAACCCAATTCAATCAAGAACATGCATATCATAGATAAGTTTTACGAGCTGGTTGGTGCTTAAACACATCCATTGTCCTTTACTTCTAAGACTCCTTTCACTCATATAGTCCATACCCTTATAGCCACTTAACAGTTTTCCATCATCTTTTTTCACACAAGCATGAAAGAACTTGTATTAACATCACATTTCTTTACCCACCTTACTATCAATCTCTCATGAAATTCAGTGGATGATTTTATAAAATTTTAAAAGCCCATTAGATTTCATTAAAATATTCTATTTACTAATAATCTAATTTACTAATCTAATTTATTTAATAGATAATTTTGAAAAAAACAATATATTGATGAAAATAGTATAAAAAGAGTGTATTAATTTTAATAAAAATTACATAAAAAAAAGGAAAAGTGTCAGGTTAGTTTATGGACCCGTATAGTTCACATGGGTTGGACGAAAATTTTACTCCTTATCTCAACATTTATTTCCTATCCTTACATTATATTTTTTTGACCAGATGTCTTTATAAAAAAATTTAATTTTATTAAAAAGTTAAAAAATGTGAATAAAATTGAATTTTGAAATTCTTTTCCAAAGTCTTTTATATACAAAATTAAAAATTAAAAAAACATTTAAAAAATGATTTTTGGAATATTATTCTAATACAAAAAATAAAATTAACATTAAAAATAATTTTTGAAATACTTTTGTAAAATTTTCTAATACACAAAATAAAAGTTAAAAAATGATTTGCAGGACACTTTTGAATTTTTTTTCGATATATAAAATAAAATTAATGTTAAAAATTACTTTCGAAACACTTTTGTAAAGTCTTCTAATATATAAAATAAAAATTAATATAAAAAATTGACTTTCTAATTACTTTTGAAAAATATTACGGTATACAAAATAAAATCTAAAAAATAATTTTCAGAACACTTTTGAAAAAGTCTTCCGATATACAAAATAAAATTAACATTAAAAATGACTTTCAAAACATTTCTACAAAGTCTATCAATATATAAAATAAAAATTAATATAAAAAGTTAATTTAAAAAACACTTTTATAAAGTTTTTTTCTATATATAAAATAAAATTAATATTAAAAATGACTTCTATAACACGTTCGCAAAGTTTTTTAAAATATAAAAATAAAATTTTAGAAATATTTAGTTATTAAAATAAAGTTAATATTTTTTATAAAAAGTAGAAGTATGAGAATGAATGTAAGAATATGAGGTAAAATTTTCGGGTTGAACTAAGAGCAACAATTTTGAGTCCAATAATAAACGGGTCAGCCAATCTAAGCCATCTATGTTAAATTAACGGCTGAGATTAGTTATTTTTTTTTCTGACAACTTGTTCTCGATGATCTTGAAATCCAGATTCGTAAAATTGTTTAGCTTCCCCATCACTCTGAATTTACACCGCCAATATAAAATAGAATTTCAAATTCCCTCCATTTCCACCAAATTTAATCAAATTTAATCAAATTTATCCTCAACAATAAGCAAATATCAAAATCAAAACCCTCTCACATTCTCATTTCCATGGCGGAACTCGACGCTCCCTCATTCTCTCTAGGTCTCGATCTCGACGACACACCCCCACCTTCTCCACCTCCCTCCCCCATCCCCGACCCGCTCCTCATAGTCCCCGACTCCGATCCGGAAACCCGATCCGATCCACCTTCTCGTACTCTCAAACGCCTCCGTCGAGGCCCCCCTTCATCCTCCGTCCACTGCGAAACGCAACCGCAGCCTTCGTACTTCGACGCCGACGACGATATCGAGGAGTTCTCTTCACCAGAAAAACCCGTTCAAGGTCAATTTCTTTATTCTTAAATCTGTTAGGGTTTAGTAGAAATATAATTATAACAGAATTTCATTATTTCTGCTAAAAATTAGGATTGTTAGTTTGAATTACAGTTATTTTGATTCTGAAGCGTGTTCGTTTTGTGACATTAGTGTGTAGAAGCTCGGTTCAAAATAACTCTATATGTAGCAGCTCAAAAGTCTCACTGAAAAGCATTGGAGTTTTAACTCCTCATTCATTTACCAACTCTAGGGAGAACAAAAGAAAACACGCTTCTAGTCCTCTTTGCAGGTTTCAATTGCTTGATTCCGATGATGATGATTCTGATGATGATATGTTTAGCGAGGAAGATGTTGACGGTGTTAATAAAGTTGGCCCCTCAGGGCCATTTGGTAACCAAAGCACACCTTTCACTTCTTTGGAACAAGATGGAAAGACACAATTTGATGGGAACAAAAGCCGGGATTTATGGAAAGATCTTTCTCCGGTGAAGAATTTTTCCGTTCCTACACCTGCGTTCAATGAGATGTATGAAGAGTACTTTAGTTCTGTCAAGAACACGGAAGTGCCAAGATCAGGGATTGGTATATCGGAGAATCACAATGAGATGTATCATGGAGTTGATTCTGGTTGGAAGCATGATGAACAGATATGGGAGGCGGCAGGTCCACTTCCTCCTGCTCATCGTTATTTTTTCCACGAGGATTCAAGAATTCAAAATTTGGTACGAAGTCGCCTGTGTAATTTTTCTCCATTAGGTGTTAATGGAGCGAATCAGCAACAAAATGTCTCTCACATTGATTACATGTAAGATGTAATCTAGTAATATATTCTTTCCTTGACCAGTTTTATCTTTTGATAACAGGTAGGATCTCTAATCAACTTATATTTTTCTGTTTTGATTTTAGGGGACAATTTGATAATGGAGGAGCTTCTAAAACGCCAGGAGTTCCTAGAGGACGTGTTAATGGCTCAACAAGCAGAAGAAGCAAATCAGTTGATTTGAATGTTCAAGAAACCTTTAATGCTTCTGAAGGTTGGGTGGATCCCAAAATCGTTTCTCCTCTCGGCAGTGGAACATCTAGTAGAAAGAAAGCAACGAAGAGAAGCAGCACTAAGAGCAGTGTGTCAAAAAGAAAAAGTGAACAATCCATATTAAACTCTTCAAATGTTTCTGGAAATTGGGTGGAACCCAAGAGCGGCACTATGCCGAAAGATGCAGGTAGAAGACGCGTCCAAGCAAGTGGTCAATCTGCTGGTCAATCTACTGGTCATTGGTTTACAGGATCCGATGGAAGAAAGGTATGTGAAATTTTTTGAAGAATGTTAAATTTTATTAGTTGGTTGGATTTATTTGCTCTCATAGCTAGATGCTGATCATAAAAAGTTGAAAACATGTGTTATATTGTTGACAAATTTCTGAAACCACTCAGGTAGTATATAACCCAAGTATTTTACAGATATGGATGAAATTTAAATTATAGCACCTTTTTGTATTGCCAATTCCTCTGAGGAATTATTGTTGTATAATTTGATCCCCAAGTTTGCATCTTTCTAATGTGGTTCTTAATACTTATTTTTGTCAAAATGAAAATCACTTGCCTTCAAGATGAATACTTAAGGTACTATATCTGTTGTTAGTCATAATACAGACACCTGTCATATACTCAAATTATTATTCATTATACGATGTCATTATATTCCATATTGTTCTAGACATTGCAACAACTTAAACAAAGAAAATGTCAGTGTTATACATCTCATGGTAGAAATCAAGGATTTAAAGCTGTTTTTGGTATGCCTGGATGTGATTTTGTTTTTATACTGAACTTTTTTCACAACCAAAATGTAAAGTAAATGGTTCTTAGCTGATCCAGATGATGGCAATTTATTTCCCAAATCCTTTTATCTTCTACTAGCAATTAACATAAAATACCAATATTGCAAATGGCTGCAGGCATATGCTCCCCTTGTAGTCATTCTTGTAGTTCTCCATTTGATTGACTTGAATCTTCTGTTACTTGGCAAAAACACATTTTGCATATTGTATCCATTGACCAGAACCTAAATCTTTTCTTAACATTGTAGGTTTATGTCAGCAAAAATGGACAAGAGATGACTGGCCGAAGTGCTTATATACATTATCGGAAGGTACATTCACTTGCAAAATTACTTTGATGTTTTATGATCTATTTGGACGGGTTATAGTTGACACTGAATTCCTTCAATGCTTACAGGAGAGTGGAACAGGATTCAAGAAATCCAAAAAGAAAACAAGTACCAAGAAGGCAAATGCCAAGAAGCGAAACTAAACATTTGATGCAACACAATTTTCCCTGCCGGGTGCACATTAAATTACTTTTTCACAGAATCTGGTAAATCATTTGTTGATCTTATGGCGAGTATACTCAGGAGGTTTGATTGTGTTCAATTGCCATAAACTTTTGGAGTTGTTCTCGATGGGGCAAGGAAGTACATGTTTGGGGCTTTTGTTGCTTATCCAGATGGTTCTGTAATATGCATCAAGATCTAAGGTCTTGCCACCATGAAACTGTTGTAGCCTTGAGAGATTGATTCACTTTTTATTTTCACCCACTAATCCTTGATTCACTACATGGTTACTTAGTGCTATCTCAGTTTGTAAATGAGATACTGTTACGAAAAGAAGGAAAAAATTATTGAAGTTGATTAAGACATTGAGAAGACCCTTCTTTCAAACTCGTATTCAGTGTACAATAAACAGTATTATAGCTTTATGTCTGAATGTTTACTTTTAATGACGTGTGTATGAATAATATTAAGAGTACAAGAAAATGTTGACTTTTTTTTAAAATCTTTTATTTGTATGAATAATATTAGAGTTCAGAAAGGTCTTTTTTCTTGTGCATGGAGGATGACTCACTTTTAGGGGTAAGTGGCAACTTCGTACTCTAGCTCGCTAAAGCCTGAAGCTTAATTGAGCACTCTAGTGCTCCTCATGTGGTCATAACTGTGCTCCTCATAGGTCTTTTTTTAAATGAGTAATTTTTTAAACAGCACTCGGATTTTAAGAACCAAATAAAAGATTGCAAATAAATTTAACTTTTTAACCAATTTTAATAAGTATTTTAAGATTTTTCCTTAAGAGATGTATGCGTTTTCTGGGCTTTCAAAACAATATTGAGTTAGTATTATTAGAAGATAAGGTAAGACTTTGTCGCTCATGATGTTGTTAGACCATCAAATATGAGTGTTGGACTGTCATGACTATTGTATCTCATGAGTAATTTGTTGAATATAAACCTTGAACTATCATGAATATTTCTCATGTTCATACATCATTTCCTAACTGAGTCAAGAAAATTGTATTTCATGTTCATACAACATTCCTTAATTGGCCCACACAGTTATGACCACATGAGGAGCACTAGAGTGCTCAATTAAGCTTCAGGCTTTAGCGAGCTAGAGTATGAAGTTGCCACTTACCCCTAAAAGTGAGTCATCCTCCATGCACATGATAAAGTAGGGCCGTACTAGTCATGATAGAGGAAATAATCTTAGGACTCCACACATATTGCTAGGAAATAATCCTGGAAGCGGCCTTGTCCATGCTTTACGCCACAAAGAATTACCACCTAGATAGCGGGAGGGCGGGGCCATGAAAATAGATCAATAGGTGTTCAAGAAATGCTATCAAGATTGCCTCACAATATAAAGGGCATTAATTATTGACAAACCACCTCCCAAACTAAGCACCCACAATGTTGACTTTGTGGACTTTGACCCAAAGGAATAGTACTTGGAAGAAACATCGGCCCCTATTGAAGATCTTAATGAGGTTTATATCGGATCCGAAAGTTTCTAGACTATGAGGTTGGGTACTGTGTTAACGAATGAAAGAGAGGAAGAGTTAATCTGTCTTTTCTATAAAAATGTGGATTTATTGTTTAGGAGTTCTTTTAATACGGAAGAAACAAACACATATATCATCAATTATGGTGTTATATCCTAAAATTTGTCCTCTTTATTTTTTAACTCTAACTGGTTTTTATTTTGTTTTGAGCTAATTCCTTAGGCATTGAAACTTTCTCGGTATTTTCTTTATTTCATTTGTTCAGGCCAGAAGTCTATTATATGCAAAGAGTCTCTGAATAATTTGTTTTCTCTAAAGCGGTGTTTGGATTTAATGACTGATTATCTGTTCACCGAGTGTTTGGAAATTCGTAACTTTCATCCAATTTGGTATTTTCAGTGGATTCCTTTAACATTGTGACTGTATTGATTCTCTTATCATTTCTCATGTTTAGATCAAAGGCTAATTGTGTGAAAAAAATCTTCTGGAATTTTAATTCTTTGAAGACAGTATATTGAATTTATTTGTTGGTCTGTCGTCGCGCGGGTAATCAAAAATTCGTATCTTTTGATTGAAATAATGTTTTGGAGCGATCATGGAGGCGTTAAAACCTTCTTAATGTCTTCTCCAACTCTTGTGTTCAGACCGAAAACTAATTCTTTGAGGAAGGCTTCCGAATACGCAATTCTCCTATAAGTGATACAGTGAAAAAACGGTGAAAATACTGTGTTGAACCGTGGTTGTGCCGACGTTCGAAAATTCATAACTTTTGACTGAAATACCGTTTTGGAGCGGTTCTTTTTAGGAAAAATCCATCTTAATGTCTTCTTCGTTTTGTATTTTTGGACTGAAAGCCGATTCCTTGAGGAAAGTCCCCGGAATTATGGATTACCGGAGAAATAATGGTGCTGAACCGAAATTTTTATTCACCGTTTCTCGACATTGTAAAATTTGCAACTCCTTCGATTTTCATCGTATTGAGACAATTCTTTCGGCATAATTTCAAAAATGATGTCAGCTACAAGTTTGCTTCAGATGCCAAATTCAAATTTTGATCAAAGGATTGTTGTTCGCAACATTCTTTTCAGACTGAACAATGAAAAAAAGCTGAAAACGAAATAAATTTGTCTGTGACAGTGTTAGTGCATCTTCGAAAATTAATAACTTTCTCGTCTTTTATTTAATTGAGCCTGTTCTTTCAGCAATGCGTCACAAATTTTGTGATCTTCGATTTTTGTGTTGAGCTCGAGTCGAGATTTCACACTGATGATGATGTGGCATTTTTTTCCGCGTTGTGTATTAAATTTACTTACAGTGTCAAAACAAGGCCCAACTCAAATTCAAATTCAAGGCCTAATTGGGTGAAACTATATATTGAGTTTCTCTTCACAATTAAAAAAAAGAAACATTTTTGCAGAGTTTTCTCAAAAAATTTCAGAGAATTCAAATCAACTCTCTTGTTCTCTATGCGCAAAAATTCTGTTCTCTCTCCCTCGTCAGTGGCGCATGCCACTCCCTCCTTCTACAACTAGGTGGAACACGCAACCCTTTCCTTAGTGGCCACCACCACACTTGCCTTTGGCACCCGCCACCATCCCTCCTAATCCTCCTTCTGACGCTCGCCACATACACTCCTCACACGACCGCCACAGCCTTCAGGCGACCGCCACACGCGCATAATTCAGTCTGTTTCGCTCGTGAATTCAGTTGATTCTTCCACTTTCCACGCTGATTCAACTTCACCGATTAAATCTTCGATCCGTTAATTCCTAATTCACTTGATTAATTACTTTTGATGGAATAAGTGCTTAATTGAGCAATACATGATTAACTGAATTGAATCTGTAAATCCTATTTTCTTGAATTTTAATGACAGAATCATGTGGAATAAGTTAGATCTATATGATCTGAATGATTAATTGCGTTGATACTTGAATTACCGTGACTTTGAATTGGTGCATCATATTAATTTTTGAACTGAGAGTTGTGTTTCACGAAGAGAATTTTGGATTGAATTCTGAAGTTACATAAGTCCTTGTGAAATTGTGTTTGATATCAATTTGCTACTAAACCTTGAGATCCTGATTTAAGACAATGCGCTGTCAACGATGAAAATTGGAATTGGTTGATTAACTGTTAAGTGCTTTTGCAATTATCAATCAAGAATCGTTTCGGTGTCAGGATCAAACTTAAAGTTGTTGTGATTTTTGGAAAGTAACACTAATATCATAGGTTGATTTTATTTCCAGATGGATTTTAATGGTTAATGTTTGAGCTTATTATTCTGACATCGACATTTGGATCCGATTGATAATTTCAAATAACTTTTCACTTTCTAATGCTTTTCTGTTTTCGCTTTCTTCATGCTTAATTGGTAAGTTCAATTGTGATGGAAATGTATAACTCCAGTCTTGATGTTGCGTTGTTATTTGCTAACCAATTTTGTGACTTGTGCAAGGTACACTGTGAGAAGCTTTCGATCATGTAACTTATTGTTGGTTATTTTATCGAAAATCATTCTGTTTGAGATTCTCTTCCGATGCAATTCACTCTTGTTTCTCATTTCATGAGAAATATATTTCTTGTGATTTTAGTTTGGATTGTGTTTTTGTTTGGATATGTATTGTGTGCAGGAACTCTGATTGATGCGATACGTTCATGGCTCGCGATTTATTTCCGTACGTGATATTCATTGGATATTATTTCTGACTATTGCGCTTTCTTGGTGAAGCTTGCTTGAAGTATTTAGGGTTTCATGCTTTCGCTTGCTTTGCTAATGAACGGTTGTTCGATTGGTATTCTCTCCTATTTTATTTTACCCCTTGCACCTTTTACCGCATTTTACCGCTTTTCTAGATATCATGAGAAGTAGAAAATAGAGTGTGCACTCGAAGTCTCTATTTAAAGATCTGTAGCATGCATTCTGCAATTATTTTCTACTTGTGTTTGTGCTTGTGTTTTTCTCTTTTGTTGATGATCGATGATGTTACTAAATTAGAATTGAGATGACGAATTCGATCTTTGCATGCTCTCCTTAGGATTTTATCGTTTTCCTTTGTTGATGATCGATGATGTCACTCAATTAGAATTGAGATAACGACTTCGATCTTTGCATGCTCCCCTTAGGATTTTATCATTTTCCTTTGTTGACGATCAATGATGTCACTCAATTAGAATTGAGATAAAGACTTCGGTCTCATTGCATGTTCCTATAGGATAGTTATCTTCGCCCTTAGGTTTCTAGTATGCTAACTTAAGTATGAATTTTCCTTGTGTGCTCTCTTAATCTTGTTGATTGTTTGTTTTATTTTCATCTTTGTATATGCCATGTTCCCTTAGGCTTTGAATCATTGTATGTTCCCTTAGGATCACTCGATTAGGATAGTTTTGAGCTAGACATTAGGATATGTATCCATGCATGCTAATATAGGTTAGAGATTTCCCTTTCGAAACTCAACCTTAGGATCAATCATTGTATGA